GTATATGTGTATGTGTATGTATATGTGTATGTATATGTATATGTGTATGTATATGTATATGTATATATGTATATGTATATGTGTATGTATATGTATATGTATATATGTATATGTATATGTGTATGTGTATATGTATATGTGTATGTGTATGTATATGTGTATGTATATGTATATGTGTATGTATATGTATATGTATATGTATATGTATATGTATATGTATATGTGTATGTATATGTGTATGCTTGCAAATGACAGTTTTACCTGCTTACTTTTTACCAGGGTTTCTCTCCCCTCCCGTCGCTACGTTTCGTTTCCTCACCTCTCACCCTTATATGTATATGTATATGTGTATGTATATGTGTATGCTTGCAAATGACAGTTTTACCTGCTTACTTTTTACCAGGGTTTCTCTCCCCTCCCGTCGCTTCGTTTCGTTTCCTCACCTCTCACCCTCCTCCCTCTCCCCTTGACTCCCCTGTTCCCTCCCTCCCCTCTCTCTGTTCTTTCTTTTTCCTCTTTCTTCTTTTTCTCATCCTATTTTTAGGGTCTCACTGTGGTCCAGGTGACCTTGAACTCATGATCCTTCCTGCCTTGTTTCTTAGTGCCGGGATTACAGATACGTGCCACTGTCTCTGGCTCAAGGCTTCCTACTTTCTTGACCACAGAATCACTTGGTGTATTCCTGTAATTCGCATACAAACTCCAGCCCTGCATATTGACTCTGATTGCCTGTGTGACCTAGAGCAAGCTCTTCAAGGCTGCGTGGAGTCTTGTCTTACTACACAGGCATAGAGCACTCATCCTGTTCGCCCCAAAGGAACATGAGCACTCTGAGAATTATAAAGCATTTTTTGAGTATATGTCAAAAAATTGTTATTGTTGGGCTGGAGAGAGGACTCAGCTGTTAAGAGCGCTGACTACTCTTGCAGAGGACCCAGGTTTGAATCCCAGTACCTGCATGGTACTTGATAGCTTACAGCTGTCTGTAACTCCATTTCCAGGGATCTGATAAACTCTTCTGGCTTCTAAGAGCACCAGGCATGTATGTAATGCACATACATAAATGCAGGGAAATCACTCTTACACATAAAAATTTAAAAAAAAATTAAAAAAGAAGAACAGTTATTACCAGTAGTAAAACAGTCCCTATTAATCTTATGTTGGCAGAATGACTGCGATGGCTCTTTTCTCTGTTAGGAGTTGCATTAAGTGGTGTAGTTAGGACTCAGAAACCCATTGCATGTCTTTATAAAGTGTACTTCTGGGGCTGGAGAGATGGCTCAGCGGTTAAGAGCACTGACTGCCCTTGCAGAGGACCCAGGTTCGATTCCCAGCATCCACATGGCGGCTACGAACCGTCCTTAACTCCAGTTCCAGGGGAATTCGAAGCCCTCTTCTGACCTCCGTGGCATCGCATGACATGGGTGCACACCTCTTTGCAATGGTTTGAAGCTTGCTCTTATAGAAATGTTTCTGGGTGTGCTGAGGCCCTGAGCTATATAACCTGCTTCCCCATGTCAGCCGGGGAAGCTTCAACTTCATTTGCCTCCGTTCTCTGGTATCTGGAACTCTGTAGAGGACTCTGGCTTCCTTGTAGGGAGTGGGAAGAGCTGTTCAGATTGGAGTGTAGCATCAGCTTCATTATTTAGTGAAAGTTTGTTGGAAACTAGTGCGCAGATAGGGACATTTGAGACCAGGCCAGGTGAAAGGGGCTGACACTGCCCAGGGCTAGGGCATGCTTTCACGAATTGCTCAGGCAATGTGGTATTCCTTTCCATGCCTGCTTCCCCTTCACCCCCTCTGCTTTTTTGCTGTGTCAGAGCTTGGGTACTCTGGTAAGATGTAGAAAAGGGACTTCAAAACCCTTCATATTTACTTATTCCAGCTCTGTATTTTGTAATTTTCCATTCTGTGTAGTATGAGCTATAGATATTCTTGCACTTAAGTCAGAGCTCAGAGACTGTGACCCATGGTGGGTAGGCAGGTGGTGTAGACTGGTGGTGGGAATGCGCAGTATGAATAGGGCAACACTTCGGATGCTGTCTATAGACTCGTTGTGATCTGGGCACCCAACATTTTAGGAGAAACAGGGTTTCACAATTCACAGGTAAATCTGCCAGGATGTATGTGCTGTAGGAGAGCAGAGGTCTGTGCCTGCTCAGATGCTGCTCGCTTCCCAGCTGCTGGGGCTTGTTTCCGTTTGCTTGTTGACCGGCTTCGTGGATGTCTCAGAGCCATTTCTCCTGGGTTACGGAGGTGAAGTGTGAGGGCCCAGTGGCCATGTGAGGGGTGTGGTCGTGGGCTTTGAGGCTCTCTGACTCCGAGTACTGACTGAGTCAATTACTGATGATCTCATCTCCACAGCTGGGTGGGGAGGGCCCCTCAGCCCTGCGGAGCCCTTGGACAGCTTCCTTCCTCTTGGC